CGCAGCTCCTCCACCTTCGCCTGCCTCGCCTGCAGCCGCTCCAGCAGCTGCCGGTAGTTTCTGCCCGTCAGGGGCGTGAGGTGGCCCTTCACCTGCTGCCGCTTCTCCTTCCGCCGCTGCGCCTTGCTGGAGGCCAGCTCTTCCTCGCCCACCTCCACCTGAGAGAGAAGCCACATGGTCAGACCTCAGGCTCCCAAACTGGCAGCTGCTGCTACTGCCACCTGGCACCCCAGGTGCCTCATCTCACCTTGTTGAAGATCAGCCCTGCGGGCTCCGGGGGCTCCGGATCCAGCGCTGGCTCCGCGGTGGTCTCGCCCTTCCCAGCCCGGGCTGCCTTCTCCTGGGCTCGCAGCTCCTTGCGCTTCCTCTTCTTCCGCTCACGCTCCTGCTTCCTCCGGCGCCTCTTCTCCAGAGCAGCTGGGGACAGCTCCTTGGGGCTCTGGGGGCCAAAGGGGTCTTCACTGGAGGCTCGGCTCAGCCCAGGTCCCCAACCCCCCAAAGCAGGCAGCTAGATAAGGCAGTCCGTGTGGGTCCACAATGCCAGAGCCTGGTGCCCGAACAGCAAGTAACCCCAGACGGACAGAACACTGAACTGAACACATCACTGTCACGACGTGGGACCCAGAGAGGGGCGCTCCATCACCGTGGGGGCGAGAGGGGCGGCCGGGACTCCATCAGGGTGAACACCCTGAGCTTGTCACCTTCTGGAGCCAGCGACCGTGACCCAGGGATGGGAAAGCCCCCTTGGAGGATGAGGAGAGAACCTGGGGGACTGTCCCCGGAGAGGGTGGTGGCCAAGTGAGGGAGGACCTTCAGCAAGCACAGCCCTCTGGGTCCCCAGGTAGACTGTCCCTACCCCTATCCACCTCCACTACCTGGCCTCGGGCCTCCTGTATCTTCTCCTGCAGCCGCTGCCGCAGAACATCCAGGGCAAAGAGGGACTCGGGCTCTGTGGGTGGGTGTCCTGTGGTCGGAGCAGAAAGGGGGCTGAGAACTGACCACCCCACCTTCCCAAGTCCAGTCACACCACCCCTTGTAGCCCTCACTGAGCTGCAGGGGCCGTCTCGGTCAGCCACATCAACCAGGGATGGGGAGTGTTACCCTATCGACACCCCTGTTCACCCACAGAAGTCACCCTCACAACAGCCCCCCAGAGACTCGAGGGCAGGGGTGCTATTCCCTGGAGGAGGCCACACAAGCACAGCCCACCCTGGGGCCCCAAGCCTCTCACCTGCTGAGGTCCTGGTGGGTCCGGTGGCCCCCACCTTGTCAGCCCACTTTGGCTTCTTGGCCCCAGAAGGGGCTGGAGGCGTCTTTCCCAGGGGCGGGGCCTTGTGCTCCAAGGCCCTCGCTGTCTGCTCGCGGGGAGGCTTCTGCCTTTTCTTCCTCTTCTTTTTTGGGGACCCAGCTGCTTCGGAGTCCCGCGTTTTCCCAGCTGAAAGGCAGAAATGTCGGCCCGGCCTGTGACCCTCTTGGGAGGCAGGAAGGTCTCAGGAGAGCTTTGACCCCAGAACCACGTGGAGCCAGGCTCCCCCTGCCGAAGGGCACTAAGACTCAGCCCTGAAACGGCTGAGAAGATACCAACCCAGGTGTCAGTACCTGCTGCTTGCGTCTGCGGTTTGACATTGAGACTAAGAAAAAGAACCAAGATGCATGCAAGTTCTGGGAAAACAAAGTTTAATTTTTATCAACGGCTCCTTGACTTGGCAGAATATAGTTTCTGATATATTGTCATAATAGACTAATTGTAATCCCGGGTTGTTTCTGCATGTATAACAGGAAGATGTAGAATAAACTCGGGGCTTCAGTATTCACTGTTGCCCTCCCAATACTTTCTGTCTCTCCTACTTTCCTTAATCCTCACTCCCCCTTTCAGGACATCCCCCCACCTCGCAGAGCTCAGAAGGGCGGGCCATAAGAAGCAGATGGCCATTCCCAGCAGAACCTCCCACAAGCACCCGGCCTCCTCCTCCTGAGGGCCCATCATGGGCCCGGCTGGGGGTCGGCTCTGCCAGCATGATTTTGGCACTGGAAACTTCTGAATGCTCACTAACCCAGGAGCCTTCTGCTACTGCTGCTACACCCCAACCGTCGGACAGGGGAGGCTAGCTGTGAGCGCAGACACAGGGAGACCCGATTATTCAAGTGAGCCGAGAAGAACCGACCGAAACCACGCGGAGACCAGAGAGCTCAACGGAAGCTGCGGGCCTTTCGCAACTGAGATGAGCAGGGTCACTCCGAAAACACGTCGGAGGGCTTGCCAGCGGCCCTACTGGTCTCTACCCGCGAAGGCCCTCCCCACTGCCCCCCGCCACGTGACGGGGGTCAGGCTAGCGCAAGCAGCCATTCTACAGCCCCCGGGGCTCGCGCCGTGCCCAGCGCGG